TAATGCTTTTTAAAATGTAAAATAGAAAATCAATCTTGTTTAAACATGACTTTTGTTTTAACTTATATGTTTTTAATTTTTTTTTATCTTAGATGACTGATTTTTATTTTTAGAAATACATCATACAAATATAATTTATTTATATCAAATATAAAGAAAACCAATAGAAAGATAAATTAGAATAATCTCTTTGAAACATTATAAAAATACAATATAATTTAAAAGATTTGAGGGAGAGAGGGTATTCATTGAAATTTAAATAAAAAATTAATGCAAGGCAAAAAATACATTAAAATAAAAAGGATTCTTATAGAGGAGTAGTTGTGGTTGAATATTGTATGTAACATGAACGACACACTTTAATAATTTATGATGATCTTTCCATACAAGCACAAGCTTATCGTCAAATATTTCTTTTATTATAAAGATCGTATCATTGTGAAACTTGTCCAATATATATTTTTTATTTGCATTTGCACCTGTTAAAAGAGTTGCCAAACCAAGTTCTTTTTCATATGAAGGGAGCATGATTGTTTTATCAATAGTTAAAACCTGGTAGGGAGATGTTTCAACTTATATTCCTCTTAATGTAATATCTATTAGAAGCAAGAAAATTAAAAAATAAAATAGCAAGTACAAAAATGAGTAATAACCTTAAATAAAGATTGCGTCATAACTTTTTTATTAATTCATATATCAAGTGGTCTTGAAAGTCTAGTTGCTCTAGCTCCGAGTGACCAATCTATAAAGGCTTTAAGGGAAAAGAGAAGGGATGAAGTTATAGGTCATGTTGCCTTATTTTTAAATTGTTGATCCCAATTTCCTATAATTGCCTACTTTTTCCTAGTGATTTTAAGAGATGAAAGGGGCTCAATTCAAGTTGCTCGTTCAATCTGACTTGCCATTTCATCAGGCAGCCTCAAAACTATGAATCATAGAGCTATAATGAAATATACAATCAACCAACATTTATCAAATTTGATCAAAAGTGAGAAGAAACTTCAAATATTTGATGTCTTTCTCTTTAAATGAAATCTAAATGCCAAAAATGGTTTCATTAGATACCTAATAACTAGAGTTCTTTTTTTTTCAATTCAATCTTCCACCACCATGAAACCCAATTAGATTCAAGCATGATACTCTTTTTAGTTATTGGAAGAACTCAGATACTCTCTTTCAGATCGAGTAAGCTAATGCTTATCCTTTCATTATCTCGATTAAGGTAATATATAACAGGAACAAAAAATAACATTTTGTATATTAGATGAGTTAATAATATCAAGTTTAAGAATCATTTATGTAACCATCACATAAGCTTTTCCATAAACATAAGTGATCTCTCCACATGGAATTCTCATAAGGGTCGGTTCAGTATATATATTTTATAAAAAAGCACCTATATATTAATTTTAGTTATCCTTTATTCCTCAGCTTATAAGAATACTTGTTTCATTTTATAAAAAAAATAACATAATATATACTCATTTCTACAGGTCTCATCAATGTCAAGTATTTAAGAGAGCATCAACCAAGAATATTTTAGAAAAAAAGTTTTAATATAATAGAAATCCTATAATTATAACAACTTTATAATTTCTTTTGCAAAGAATTTTTATCCTATGGATTTTATCTTTATTTTAGATTCATTAATCTAATAGTAGAAGAGAAATTGAATTTGCAGAGATTGTTTTGGAGAAAGAGAAAAGAACAACAACAATTGTGTTGTTTGGTTTTTTATTAACGTGAGCATTGTAATTCCTTTCTCTCTATTCTACAGAATGAGTTTTTCTTATGTATTTATATAGATATACATTGCATCTTTACTTTATCTACAAGGATAAGAAAGATAAGTCTTATCCTTATCCTTGTGGATGATTTTTTCCATTGTGCATAAGAATTCTGCTCTTGTGTGCTTCCTAGAGATAGATTTTGATTGTATATCAATCACTTTTGTAGCTACTGTTTCCTTATCAAATTAGACTCCCATGTTGGCTAGAGTTTGTTGCCTTTTAAACTTCTTTCTTTCCTAACATTTATCCACTAATTTTAGAGATGTTGCTAAAAGTAGAGTATGAGTGTTCATCCTTATTTCTCATATATTTTTTAGTCACCTTATCACTTCATCTACTCATACCATAGTTACTGCCATTAGAGTGCATGCTACTAACACTCTCCCTCAAACTATGCTTCAGTTGAAGGCATAGTTTGTTTTGAAAACTTGTGAAGGCTGCCTTTGACATTGGCTTTGTGAAGAGATCTGCAACTTGTTCATTAGTGGAGATATGTTTAGTGATCAGTTGTCTAAGGGTAACTCTCTCTCGCATAAAATGATAGTCTAATTTGATATGTTTGCTTCTGGCATGGAAGACAGGATTGATTGTCATATGAAGAGCACTGAGATTGTCATAATAGAGTTTTGGAGGAGATGTCATTGGAATGTGGAGATCTTTTAGAATAAAAGTTAACCATGTAAGCTTAGCTGTTGTCCTGGCCATTGCATGATATTGGGCTTTAGTGCTAGAATGATCCTATATATTGTTTCTTTGCGCACCTGGAAATGATGTTTTTACCCATAAAAACATAGTATCCTGTGGTGGAACATCTAGTAGTGAGGCATCCTGCCAATTAGCATCTAAAAAAGCAAAAAGATCAAGTGAAGTGTTGGTAGAAAAATGTAGACCTATGTTAAATGTCCTTTTCACATATCATAGAATTCATCTAACCATTTTTAAATGTGTCGTTGTTGGTGCATGCATGAATTGTGACACATAATTAACACTATATGAAAGGTCTGGCCGTGTGAAAGTGAGATACTATAGTGATCGAACTAATCCTCTAAAATGGCTAGGGTCTTCTAGAGCGATATCAGTTAAGGAGGTTTTTGTTTTTGCTTCAAGAGGTGTGTTTATAGGTTTACAATCTGTCATTGTAACATGTTCAAGTATAGTCAATGCATAGTGTGACTGGGATAAGTGGAGTCCATTTATTGTTTTGCAGATTTCAATTCTAAGAAAGTGATGAATAGGTCCCAAATCTTTTATGGTAAACTCGCCACTTAGGAGTTGAATGAAGTTGTTGACAAGGGCCTCTGTAGATCTTGTGAGCAACATATGATCTATATAAAGTAAATGTACCAGCAAGCAATGTTTAGAATGAAAGATAAATAAAGATGGATAAGCTAGACTACAAATAAATCCATATTTAAGAAGAAAAGTGCTAAAACGATCAAACCAAGCACGTGGAGCTTGTTTGAGACCATAAAGAGCCTTTTGTAATTTGTAGACATATTCTAGATGTTGTGAGTCTACCATTCCCGGTGGTTGCTCCATGTATATATCTTCAATGATGTTACCATGCAAGAAGGCATTCCTTACATCAAGTTGTCGAATAGGCCATCCTTGAATTAGTGTTGTACTGATAATCATTCGTATGGTGCCCGGTTTGACAACTGGAGAGAAGGTTTCAGTGTAGTCAATTCCATCAATTTGATGATACCTTTTTGCAACAACATGAGCCTTTAATTTGTCTAAGGATCCATCGGGTTTTAGTTTTGTCTTAAACACCTATTTAGAGCAAATTATATGTAGGTCCGAGGTGCGTGGAACAAGGGTCCATGCCTGATTTAGCTGTAGAGTAGTAAATTCTTCTTCTATTGCAGTTTTCCAACCAAGATGAACCAAAGCTGTTTGAACATTTTGTGGTTCCCTGGATATCAAGGCATAATTTGGATTTGGTTTTACAACTCCACGTTGAAATCGTGTAACCATAATGTAAGAGTCTTGTCCTTGAGATTGTTATAGAATTGTTGATGTAGGTTCTGTTTGTGAGGTTTTTGTCTGTTTTGTTAATTGGAAACGAGTGATCATTAGGTGAGATGGGTGATGAGTTGTAGCTACCTTAGATGCTATTTTTGCAGGGTCTATTTTGGAGACTATCACGATTGGGGTAAAGTCTGTTATGGCTAGAGAATCTGCTACTATAGGATCTATTATTATCCTTGTTGCTATAAGATTTGTTGCAACATTTGTTATGGATTCTAGCATTGCTTCTACTATATAATCTGCTGCTATAAACTCTATTGCTGCTTCAAAGCTTGTTTCTGCTGCTACACGATCTAGTACAGAATACACTACTATTGTTGTCCCTGTTGTAGGATAGCTTTCCTGTTCTTAGAGATATATATCTTCAGCTAACTGCTATCCCTTAACCTGTGGTGGTGCAAGAGACCCCACTGGTTGTAGTTTGCTGTCTTGGGGAATTTATATAGCAAACATATTTTTCTCTTGTGTAATGACTGATAGAGGGCTGCAGTTTGGGGTTATTTTCTTGTTTTCTATATTTCCTGAAACACTTTGAGAAATATGAGGTATCCATGTGTCAAAGATTTTAAATGTATGTAATGATGGCTGGATGGTGGTTGATGGTTTGTATGAAAACATTGTTTCATCAAAGACAACATGACGTGGGACTAATATTTTTTTGTTGGGTGGATGATAGCACTTGTACCCTTTATGCGTTGTGCTGCAACCAATAAACACACAGAGAATTGTTTTTAGATAAAACTTGTGCCCTCTTGTGTCCCATGTATATGGAAAGCATTTGGAGCCAAACATATGTAATGAAGAATAGTTTGGGTGAGAACCATGCATTTTGAAATATGAAGTTTCTAAGTTTAGTGTAGATGAAGGCAACCTATTTAAGAGATGTACTATTGTCGTAAATACTTCTACCCATAAAAATAAAGGTACTCCATTATGGAACAACATAGTCATTTCTAATTCTCGTATGATTCTATGTCGTCTCTCTACAATACCTGTTTGTTCAGGTGTATATGGACATGAAATTTGATGGATAATACCTGATGTATGGAAATGAGATGTAAGCTTGGAGTTGACAAATTCTCCACCTCCGTTAGAGTGGAAAATTTTAATCTTTTTGTTGAACTACAAGTTTACATATTGTTTAAAGAAAAAATATTCATTCACAAAATCAAACTTATATCACAAGGGTATAATCCATGTATATTTCAAAAAAATCATCTACTAAACATGCATAATATTGAAATTTGCCAATAGATAAAACAGGAGAAGGTCCTTATAAGTCACAATGAATTTTATCAAAAATACTAGTGCTAGAATTTTCCGAACATGAGAATGGTAATCTGTTTATTTTTCCTAATTGACAACTATCACATAGATGCTCGGATTTCAACTTTCCCGTTACATCTATCAAGCCCTTATTTTTCAACAATTGTAAGGCTAAGAATTGTGGGTGTTCTTGATGCTGGTGTCATACTTCAATAGAACCTGTTTTAAATATAGTTAAGAAATATAGTTCTGGTGAAGTTGGAAGGACATAAAGATCACCCTTGTGAGCCCCTATGATTACTGATTGTCCTGTCTTTTGTTCCTTAACATAAAAATCAATGTTAGAAAACTCGCAATTAACATAAAATTGCTTAATCAATTGACTTATCAATAGTAAATTTTTTGTTAGTTTAGGGAGTAATAAGACATCTCGAAGAGGGAAAGCAATTTTCTATTGTTTAATCTGTGTATCCCCAATACCAAGGATTGCTATTAAGGATCCATTTCCTATAATTATAAAGTCAGCTCCCTTATATTTACAAAGGTTGGTTAACATACCTGATTGTCCTATCATATGGTTGGAGGCACCTGTGTCGGTTGTCCATTCTGTTTCTGCTAAAGTGTTGTAAAAAGTTAAAGCTGCAAGTGCATGTGGGATTTCTTTATTGTTGGAAGATTTCTTCAGTATCCACCAACATATCTTGGCAATGTGGCCTTCTATCCCACAATATTGACATTTTTCATTGTGAAAATTGTCCTTTTCTATTTGTGTCATCCAACGTTCTCCTAGGGTAAAGGACATCATTGTGTCTCCGCTATGATGGGGATTCTATTGTGTTCCCTATATTGCTTGGAAGCTGACACGACTAATAAATAACCCGGCAAGACCGAGGTCGAATCACAAGGAGGTTAATTATACAAATTATAAATAACAATTATAAACAACAACAATAGTAACAATAATAACAGTAGCAATAATAATACTAATAATACTACTACTAGTAGTAGTAGTAATAATAATAATAATAGTAATAATAATAACAATAATAATAACAATAATAAAGAAAAAAAGAAGAAGAAGAAAAAGAAGAAAAGTTGATGAGAACTTTGAGATGGAAAATTAACGTAAGGATTAAATAATGATAACAAACAATGTCAAGGTTAGAGGATCCACTAATAGTATGTCAAACAAGTATAGTATAAACTCTTATTATTCAATTGGAAACCACACACAAAGAAGGTTCCAATCAGATTATAGATTGTTAACATGATTACATTAGTCATCTTATTCAATTAATGCTAATACTTGTAAATTTCGTCAAGCATTCATGATTATAACTTATGTTAACAAATCAAGTTCCTTTCATAGCTCAGGTGTCGGTTATACCATATAGTATGCTCTATGAAAATGCCAAGCATTTGTTGTACCAAGTGTTATACAATATAAATCAAGATTAGTCATTTAACAAGTAAAGTATTAAAGAGTGAATAAGATAACAAATACAAAACATGTTAGTATCAAACATTAAATTCCATATTGAGTTTACACTATACTTATTCTTACACCATTAGTGTAACCTTTTCACCTGGACATAATAAACTTAGCTAGACATAATAAAAGAAAGAAAAATAAATAAACAAAATAAGAACATAAATAAGATAAAAGTTAACTAAGTAAATGAATGGAAATAAAAGGCATAAACTTGATATTAATGAAAGCAAAGCATAAACATTAAAAAAAATACAAAGAGAGAAAGCAAGAGCATGATTTTGATCTGGAAACCAAGATGCCTAAATGCATGGAAAATGCCTCCTTTTATAGGCCAAAATTGGGAACTATTGATTTGATGACTAATTGATGAGTGGGTGGCCAACTCTTGACTTGGTGACAATCCTTATCTTCTCTTGTCTGCCAGAAACGTCATTGATAATGTTAAAATTGGAGCCACTTGAAAACATGAAAGTTGTAGGAAATTGTCTCAGCTTTCTTGTGTAAAACATTCAGCTCATTTGAACTTCTAGAACTCTAGATATGATCAAAATATTGAACAATGCTCGGGCTGGAGGACAAATTCGGGTTTCTTTGTTGTTGCAACAATTTGGACTTGAAAATGACTTTTTTAGATCTAGGGCTCCATATGAAAATTGTAGGCCTATGTCTTACCTTTCCATCCATATAAAGTAGACCTAAATCTGAGATCTATAACTCCAGATATGACCCACTTACCGAAGAGTGTTCTGGTTTGGATTGCACCGACATCTCTTTTCTAAGTTTGACCATCTCTTTATCCTTTCAATTTCAGTTCTTAAATACATCTCTTTTCTAAGTTTGGCCATCTCTTTATCCTTGCAATTTAAGTTCTTCAAGTCATCAATCAATCCTTTCATTTATGTGATAGGCCTGCATTAAAAATAGACATTTACCACAAATTAAAGGTATCTTATATTATTAGATATATTATTATAAAACATGCTTTAGTTAAGGAGTTATTGATACTTCAAGTGCAAAATGATGATATAAAACCTTGATAAAAATGCATTTTTAAGTACTAATCACACCACTCAACCAGCTTATTACTAGTCCCTAATAATCAAAGCGTTAAAATAGAAAAACAATTTGCAAATTCCACAAAGCAAGGTATTCATCATTTAACTTCCATTAATCTATTTAGATAAACAAACTCTCGTTAAATTTATATACCTACTCAATACCTCTTAACAAGATATTCATAAACCTTTCTTTTGTGCTCCACGTATCAACACATAATTATGGGGCTTTTCTTGGAAGAAAACAAAATTTTTGTTCTAATGTTTAAGGTTAACTTCCTTGGGTTGGGATTATTATTTTTGTCTTTTTTTTCTTTTTTTTTAAATATATATACATATAATTTAAAAACATCATGCATCTTTAACCCATGTAACGAGCTTTAAGCTAATGACTCCCAGACCAGTTGGTCTTAGGGCATTAGGTGTTAAGACACCCCTACGAGCTTAGTAACTCGGGTCGCAGATACTAATATGTAGATAGTGCAATGTTTGATTCCCTTAAGCTTTTCTCCTCAACCCATGTAACAAGCGTTAAGCCAATAGCTCCCAAGTCAGTTGACTTTAGGGTATTAGGTGTTAAAACACCCCTTCAGGCTTAATTGCTTAGGTTAGGGAGGCTACGAAACCAAACTTATCTACATTTTTATTATTATCATTTTTTTCTTTTTTTCTTTTTTTTCTTTTTTTTAATTATATACTATCCATTTTCCTTAGTTGTTACCTTTAACAAAAGAACATAAATAATATAATAATCCAATATGCAACTCATAATCATATGTTAAAGTGTGTGTGTGTAAATTAAGATTTAAGAATACATGTTAAATAAGTATATGAGCAGAATTAAGTGATAACAATGCGAGAGTTGGTAAATCTGAATATTTCATGAAGTATTATAAATGACCTTGTTAAGAATGGTTACTAATATGCGTCTCAAGAGTCATAAAAGTTCTCCTTACTCTGCCATCATAGTAACAATAATTTTGCACATGCTTTACGAAATAAAAAACATTCTTTTTTATCAACTACTACCCTCTCCCCTCAACCAAAACAAGACATTGTCCTGAATGTTCTAAGGTAAAAGATAGAGTATAGAAGATATCACCTAAAATAACGAACAGTGACAAACCTGAAACACACTGAAACAAATATAAGTAACAACAAAACACAATAATAAAACCAAAAGACACAAAGATTCACAAATGAAGACTCAAATCCAATCTAAGCTTTTTACGACTTTCCTTACTTGACCAATTTATACGACTCATGGAAGGATCAATTACAGGAATGAAAGATTGTAGTTGGTCAATCAATTGTTCAGCAGTAGCAGCAGAGATTATGATTTGTCGTGTAGAAGATGTTAGAAATTCTTGTTCCACAGCATGATCAAGAAAAGACAACAACTTATCATAATAACCGTTAACATTTAACAAACCTATGGGTTTATGGTGAATGTGCAGTTGGGCCCAAGAGAAAATATGAAAGATCTCTTCCAATGTGCCTAGACCACCTGGTAAACCAATGAGGACATCAACATGGTTAAACATTGCATTCATTCGAGATTATAACTTATGTTAACAACAAATCAAGTTCCTTTCATAGCTCAGGTGTCGGTTATACCATACATTATGGGCTATGAAAGTGCCAAGCATTTGTTGTACCAAGTGTTATACAACATAAATCAAGATTAGTCATTTAACAAGCAAAGTATTAAAGAGTGAACAAGATAACAAATATAAAACATGTTAGTATCAAACATTAAAGTCCATATTAAGTTTACATTATACTTATTCTTACACCATTAGTGTAACCTTTTCACCTTGACATAATTAACTTAGCTAGACATAATGAAAGAAAGCAAAATAGATAAACAAAATAAGAACATAAAAGTTAACTAAGTAAAGGAAAGGAAATGAAAGGCATAAACTTGATATTAATGAAAGCAAAGCATAAACATTACAAAGAATACAAAGAGAGAAAGGAAGAGCATGATCTTGATCTAGAAACCAAGATGCCTAAATGCATGGCAAATGCCTCCTTTTATAGGCCAAAATTGGGAACTATTGATTTGATGACTAATTGATAAGTGGGTGGCCAACTTTTGACTTGGTGACAATCCTTATCTTCTCTTGTCTGCCCAACACGTCATTGATAACGTCAAAATTAGAGCCAGTTGTAAACATAAAAGTTGTAGGCCATTGTCTCAGCTTTCTTGTGTAAACAATTCAGCTCATTTGGACTTCTAGAGCTCCAGATATGGCCAAAATACCGAACAGTGCTCGGGCTGGAAAACCGATTCGGGCTTCTTTGTTGTTGCTATAATTTGGACTTGAAAATGGCCTTTTTAGATCTTGGGCTCCATATAAAAGTTGTAGGCCTATGTCTTACCTTTCCATCCATATAAATTGGACCTAAATCTAAGATATATAGCTCTAGATATGACCCAATTACCAAACAGTGTTCCGGTTTGGATTGCACCGACATCTCTTTTCTAAGTTTTGCCATCTCTTTATCCTTGCAATTTAAGTTCTTCAAGTCATCAATCAATCCTTTCATTTATGTGATAGGCCTGCATTTAAAATGAACATTTACCACAAATTAAATGTATCTTATATTATTAGATATATTATTATAAAACATATTTTAGTTAAGGAGTTATTGATATTTCAAGTGCAAAATGATGATATAAAACCATGATAAAAATGCACTTTTAAGTACTAATCAGTCCCCTTATGCTAAAGCTTGGGGGACGACCCCCAAAACTTGACTACCTCCTAAAAATACAGCTATTGACACACCTCCCATTAATCCCAGACTGCTTCCCCTATACACTAAATGAATCTTTCTCTCAGCTAGCACCTGACCAAGATGATTTACTGATTCTAAAAACTCCTTTTCTTTTCCAGGACTAGATCCACCGAAAACACAAATACTTTTTATTTGATGACTTGAGGAACTTGCCATTTCTACACACTTCTGTATTTGTTGAATGTATGGGTTGAGTAGAAATGAAAGGAAGGAAGAGAGGATTTTATAGATGAAAAATTAGAAAGGCAATCATACCACCTATATGTAGGCAAGCTAGAGTCTTTATTTATTTATTTATTTACTTTTGAAAAAGCATGTGTATGTACAGGTAGTTGTGATTGTGGCTCACATCTTTCCTTGGTTTTACATCCAAGAATGGCTTAAACGCCCTCTATAGGTCGGGAATAGGCTTCCCATCCAGTTTTCTTAAAAACTGGCAAACAGGGTCTTTTTTAGTCAGATTCCCAAGACTAAGTTGATCATGTTCTTTA